CTCTAAATGGATTTATTACTGTTTTCATTGTGTCCTTATCTGCACCCATTAGAAGCTGGAACCTCTTACCTCTTTTGTCATTCATTTTATGTTAACTACCGCATCCATTTTAGTCTGTTTCACAGGTACCTGTGCCTGAGTGGTTTAGAGCAGATCTCTTTCTGCTGCAACTCCCCCTCCCCCTCCATGAAATGAATTATATAAAGGTGTTTGTATGATGGTTATGAACTCAATGCGTCAGAGCTGAGGCAAGGTCTCACGAACGCTTATTCTGAAGTAAACTTCATCTTTCAGGAGGCATTAGATTTCTGTTTTATTTCACTGCTACTCAGAATAGACGATATGGGCCCAGGCAGAGCAATGGATTGTGTTTCATGCGCAGGACCCTGACTTAACTGGATTTCTCTTTCTATTTACCTTCGGTACCATTCATGGAAAGAGACAAGATGTTTGTTTAGAAGCACTGCATCAATTAATACATTCAAAGAGATGCCCCTGTACAAAAACGAAGGGCTGCTCGGGGGTACAGTGCCCACTTTCCATGCAGAAGGTCCCAAGTTCTACCTCTGGCATCTTCAATTCAAAGGTCTCAAGTGTTGGGAAAGACATTTCACTACAGGAACCCGGAGTGAGAGTAGACGGTGCAGTGTGAGACGGCCTGACAGCATAAGACAGCCTCATATGATCAACTGCTGCCCCTTAAGTGGTTTGGTCTTCAGTCTTGGCCTGCCGTTTGGAAGGCTTAACAGAGCATGCTGCTGAGTGGGCTGGAGCCCAGCCATCTTTTCAGCCACGCATCAGGTCTCCAGCATGACCTGTCTCTTCCTTTATTTCATGTATACCCTGCCTTTCTCCCCAGTGGGGACCCAAAGTGGCTTATAGAGCTCCCCCCTGCTCCATTTTAAGCCTTACAGCAGCCCCGTGAGGTTGGTTAGCGTGTGACTGGCCCAAGGTCACCCAGCAAGCTTCCATGGCAGAGTAGCCAAATTATGCAGTAGCCAAATTGGTTGCTCACAACTACAATGCCAGTAGCTCACGAAGTAGAATTTTTGCTCACAAGATATCACAGCTTAGAGGGACCATTGAACCTGGGTCTCCCGGATCCTAGTCTGATGGTCTAAACCAGCCCCCCCCCCATGTGGGGCCCATGGGGCCCACCAATACTTTTCTTGGTGCCCACCAAGTGTTGTTAGAAAGTGCGTGGGGCCAGGTGTGGCTTTTGCCCACTTGGGCTAGTGATTAGCCACTGAAGATCTGATTGATTATGTGGATTAAAATAACATTGTTTCAGTGGCAGCTGCCCCCACACGGTATTGTTCTATCCTTTCTCACCCCTATTTCCCAGTGTATTTTTAAATGGCCCTTCTTCTCCCCTGCACTTGGGCGTCCTCTGTTCGAGTTCCCCCGTCTTCTGTGGCAGCCATGTTGCGGTTGAGCCCACTACCCTGTGTCAGCATTCCAAAGATGACCACAGGCTCAAAAAGGTTGGGGACCCCTGCTCTTGATGCTATACCACACTGGCTCTTAGCAAGAGGAAAAAAGAGGCCTAGTGGTAGCCGGGGGCATAAACTATGGGGTGGGGCGGAGTGGTTCAAGCCCCCCCCCAAGATTTTTTTGGCAGGGGCAATGCCTCTCCCAGGCTTCCAGGTAGAGACAGTTTGGTGTAGTGGTTAAGTGCGCAGACTCTAATCTGGGAGAACCGGGTTTGATTCCCCACTCCTCCACTTGCACCTGCTGGTGGGACCTTGGGCCAGTCACAAGTTGTCTCAGAGCTGTTCTCTCACGAGCAGTTATCAAAAGAGCTCTCTCGGCCCCACCTACCTCACATGGTTTTTTTTGTGGGGAGAGGAGGGGAAAGGAGATTGTAAGCCGCTCTGAGACTGCTTCGGGGAGTGAAGGGCGGGGTACAAATCTCTTCTTCATCATCACGAAGCTGCTCAGGCTGTCAGGTTCTCACGTTCAGTCAGTCCTGTCTGTAGCGACGTAACAAGTTCCCAGGAGGCACAGGACTGGTTTTGTTCGTCTTTCTGTAAAGATAAGGGAGGGATAATACTGTCTGTGAAGAAACAACAGAGGAAGAAAGAGCATGGAAGGGCGAAGGGGAAAGAGCAGCCCATCTAGCAATGAGGTGGCCTCGGTGGTTCAGCTGAAAAATGTATTTCCTGTAGCCTGCAACTCAAACTCTGATGTAAGTGTAGCTACCGAATCCAGGAGCACATTAAGAGACCAACAAGATTTTCTGAGTGTGAGCTTTTGAGAGTCAAAGCTCCCTCCGTTGGTAGCTGACAGAGGAAGCCTCTTGACCCTCAAAATCTTATCCCCCCCAAACCTTGTGAGCCTCCAAGGGGCTCCTGGACTCATACACAGCTGTTCTCCTGCAGGTCAACGTGGCTCCCCCTGAAATCTAGCTGATATAAGTAATGAATCAAGAGAATGACCGTTGGCCTTCTCCCATGTGAGCTACTCATAATTGCATTATCAGTGTGTCCCGGTGGCCCTGCCTTAGAGAAAGAAATGGTCCATCAACATTTTATCTTTAGCTATGGGTGTGGGGGAGGGTTAACCCAGCACCTCCTTCCTACCTAGATGTGTGCTGTCTGCCCGGATTCCATCCTTCCTAAATTTGCCTTGGCAGCCATGTTTGTTGTTGTTGTTCAGTCGCACAGTCGAGTCCGACTCTTTGCGACCCCATGGACCAGATCCCGCCATCTCCTGCAGGTCAATGTGGCTCCCCTCGGAAACTAGCTGATATAAGTAATGAATCAAGAGTATGACCCTTGGCCTTCTCCCATGGGCTACTAATAATCCCATTATCACTGTGTCCCGGTGGCCCTGCCTTAGAGAAAGAAATGGTCCATCAACATTTTATCTTTAGCTATGGGTGTGGGGGAGGGTTAACCCAGCACCCCCTTCCTACCTAGATGTGTGCTGTCTGCCCGGATTCCATCCTTCCTAAATTTGCCTTGGCAGCCATGTTTGTTGTTGTTGTTCAGTCACAGTCGAGTCCGACTCTTCGCGACCCCATGGACCAGATCCCGCCAGGCCCTCCTGTCTTCCGTCGTGCTCCAGAGTTTGTTGTTTAGGCACTAGCAATGCCTTGCTTTGGGGAAGATGAGGTCAAAGCTGGCCTCCGGCTATGCTAATGAGTGACCAAAATGTTGGGCAGGTGATGGATTCACTGATGGGATATCTGCATACCTACCCACTGCCACAGGAGCTCGCAAAGCCAAGCACCGAACTTAGTCTATCAAGGTAATTTCATCAGCAAATGCAAGTCTTCCTGATTGCAAAATCTAACTACTATCAAGTTGCCAGATGAGCTGATTACCTTTTAGTTGCTGTAGATTTTCCGGGATGTGTGGCTGTGGTCTTGGCATTGTAGGACCTGACATTCTGCCAGTAACTGTGGGCTGGCATCCTCAGAGGTATAAACACAGAAAGATGGAGTACTCTCTGTGTCAAGGTGAGACAATACTCTCTGTGTCAAGGTGCCTACCATTTTCTTCTTCTCACCTTGACACAGAGAGTATTCCATCTTTCTGTGTTTATACCTCTGAGGATGCCAGTCACAGTTACTGGCGAAACGTCAGGTCCTACAATGCCAAGACCACGGCCACACAACCCGGAAAATCTACAGCAACTAATGAACTCTGGCCGTGAAAGCCTTCGACAACATATTGGTTACCTTTTGCTGACCTTCCCTGAATAGATTAGATCTGTGCTCCAGGAGCGGCAATGCATGGGTGATAGTGGCCTCACAGCAGATGTAATAGGTACATGACTCTTAAGACCACTGGTCTATCAGCATTTGGCTACTCTAACTGGCGGTGCATCTTCAGGGTCACAGGCCTTTCAACTTCACCTACCACCTGATCCCTAGGGTGGTCAGCTCTGAGCTGGGAAATTACTGGAGATTTAGGGGTGAAGCCTGGGATGACAGGGTTAGGGTTGCCAATCTCCAGGTCATGGCTGGAGATCCCCTGGAATTACATTTGATATAAAGGCTACAGAGATCAATTTCCCTGGAGAAAACTGCACCTTTGGAGAGTGGACTCTGTGTCATCATCATACCTTGCTGAGGCCCCTCCCCTCCACGAAGGCTCCACATCCAATGTCTCCAGGAATTTTCCAACCCAGAGCTGGCAATGAAGAGGAGAAGGGACCTCAGTGAGATATCCTGCCATGGAGTCCAACTCCCAAAGCTTCCAGTTCCTCCAGGGGAACTGATCTCTGCCATCTGGAGATGAGTTGTAATTCCCGGGGGTCTCCAATGGCAGCCCTACAATCTGGAGACTGAATCTGGGACCTTCTGCATGCAAAGCTGACGGAATACTGCTGACTCGTGGCCCCACCCCTATCCGAGGGGTCTGGGGGCATCTGAATGCACAGCCCAGGTATTTGTCACTCAAGATGAACACGGAGACCCTTTACACCAGTCGGCTCATTGGCAAAAAAACCACAGGCGTCTTTGCAGCGCTAGTTTCACAGATTGGTCCCAGAACTGTAACCACACAAAGGAAAACAAAAAGGTTGAGTCCAGTGGCACCTTTAAGGGCAACAAGGTTTTATTCAAGGTATAAACTTCCTCCTGTGCATGCACGAAACCCTGTATCTGAGGAAGTGTGCTTGCACACGAAAGCTCATAGTGTTAATAAAACTTTGTTGGTCTTAAAAGGTGCCACTGGACTCAAACGTTGTTCTCCTGCTTCAGACCAACGCGGCTACCCAAACAAAGGAAAGACAGTGTTTACTCAAATGCAAGAATGGGCGTTTTCCCCAAGCGTGCCATCAAAAAAAGAGGGGGTCCTCCTCTTAACATTTACGAACGTTACAGTTCTGTCTAGTGTGACGCATTTTGTGCGTGCCTGTGTGAATACCATTTTAATGGGGACGTCTTCCTTTCCAGTAAATACGGTAGTGAGAGGGGCTCTGGCGGGATGACTAGACCCCGCCTCCCCCTCCAGAGCTCCAAGATTCGGACAAAAATCCAAGGGTCGGATACCTTTGACCTGCATGGAGATGCGCGGACCGTGAGCGCTTTTGCTGTTGCGTTCATGCCCTGGCAGAGGACAATTGAGGAGTCAGCCGATCGCACTTTCATCCCCACAAACGTCCGGCCGACTCTAGGATCCAGGGGGCGGCAGCGTCTAGAGTAGCGCCCGCGGCGGGTTGAAGGGGCGGGTCCTGAGGCCGGGCGGGACACGTGCCGCAGCGCAGGCAGCTCCTCCGCTTGTTATTGCTGCGGGCGCTTTGCAAACTTTGCGGGCTGCTGCAGCCGGGCCGGAGCCACGGTGGGCATTTTCTCTCTCTCCCCCTTTTCGCTGATCCTTGTTGCTCGTCCTGTTTATGCAACTGCCGGCCGGCTGACCCCCGGCTGCTTTTAACCCGAGCCTCCCCAAAGTTGCGGCGCCGGCTCCAGGCAAGTGATCCGGGAAGTTCGTGGGGATGTCGGCCGAAGGGGAAGGGATGTTGGTCCGCCCGTTCAAACTGGTGGCGCTGCTCTGCGCCTTCATCGCGCTCGCTCTGAACGTGGCCGCCTTGCTCAGCCCAGCTTGGGTCACGTCGGAACGCGATTCGCTCTCCCTTTGGAAGGTCTGTAGGCAGCCCCCGGAGGACTGGCAGTGCATCTCTACGCTCCAGACCGGTAAGCCGGGGGGAGGGGGGGGAGCTGCCGGGGGTGTTTCAGGGAAAGGCAAGCCGGAGAGTCCATTTAGTTTGGGAGGCAGGCCAGCAGACCTGTCTGCTGACAGATTGAGTTTAATTAAGGGCTGGCACCTTTCCCCCCCTTTCTGATGGAGGCTCTGTGCCTTTCACAGTTGCACGGCAGGCAGAAATTCAACAGGTGATTATCCCTGGTATGGATATTTGGGGAGGAGGTTTTCTCCTACGGAATGCCTGCTTCCAGGCAGATGGCCAACCATCAAGATCCGGGAGCCTTACTAGGAGAAGAGGGGGCCAGCCCGACTCCTTCAGCAGCTGCTGGATTCTTTTATTGTGTGTTGTTTTTTTAAAAAAGAAGTGGTGAGCTTTCAAACGCGGCTGCCTGCTGTGCCTCCTAATCCCCAGATGCCTGGATTGGATGGGGATGGTTTCCCTGTGCCCAGTTCCTCTTTCATGAGTACTCTGAATACGGGCGGAAGTTTGCTCATGCCCTGAAATAAACTTTGGTCCACTCCAAATCATCCCCCCCCCCCGGCAAACAGGGACTGTCCCCTTTGAGATGACCAGCTGGGGACTGGCAGGCTCAAAACTTTGATTGTGTGCAATATACTCGGATGCAAGATCCCCAGTGGTTGGCACATAAGAGTTCTCTGGGTGGATGATGTGATGTAGTCTAAAGCTTGTTTCAGAGCAGCGCCCCCCCCCCCGCACTGTATTAATTGACAAAAAGTACTGGGCAGGAGGTGTTAATTGACAAAAAGTACTGGGCAGGAGGTGATGCAAGATTGTCACAGGGGACAGTCCGCCAGTGGCCGGGCATGTGCTTTTCCTGTGCTTTTTTGTTGACTAAAGAACTGAGAACCAGGGACCCTCTTTGGCCTCCTAAAGGGAAGAGACCCATGTTATTATAATACCCTCTTCTACACTGTGGGTGATTCTGCATTGGCTTTTCCCTCCATTGTTTTAGCAAACCTACAGTGGAACAGAAATTCCCCTCTGCGTTGCATGCTACTTCCACTTTCTTTTACGGCCATTCAGGGGTGACTTTGCAGTCTCTAGTTCCAGCTCCTGCCAACCTAGCAGTTCGAAAGCAAGAAATTGCAAGTAGATCAATAGGGACCTCTTCGGTGGGAAGGTAACAGCCTTCCGTGCGCCTTGGTGTTTAGTCATGCCGGCCACATGACCACAGAAACGTCTTCGGACAGCGCTGGCTTTTTGGCTTTGAAACGGAGATGAGCACCGCAACCCTAGAGTCGGATTCGACTGGCTTTCGAGCGAGGGAACCTTTACCTTTACCTTTTTACAGGCTTGTTTTGCAGGCCTTCCCTCTAATACCAAGATCAGTATAGGTTTGGAGGCTGATCCAAACCTCAGATGAAGCTTATGGACATCAGGTGATGTGTCTGTTAGCAGAGCGTAACTCTTGGAAGGGTTAAAGGGAAACAGTATCCCGTGGGGAGGGTAAATGTGTTTTGCAAGGGCTGCAAAACAGCTCCAGGGATTCCACCTCTTGGCAGCTTTAGCTCCTTTGGACTGCATCATTGTAATTCTGGAGCATACCTTCCTTGTAGATGTTTTACTGGGAAAGTGTGGGGAAGGCTAAAAGGGAAGAAGCTTGAAAGAGCTAAATTCCCTCAGTGCAAAAGGAAGCAAAAAGCAGTTAGATTGCACAAAAGAAAAATAAACAGAATAAATTTATTGCTGTCCTATCCAGCCCATCATCTCCAAACAAGCTGCTACACTTCTGAATTTGCAGAAACTGCCAAGCAGCCTTCAAGGGTTAGCCCTAGCATGCACATGTCACAGTAGTCTCAGGCGACAGATCAAGATGGGTAGCTGTGTTAGTCTGTAGCAATAGAAAAGGGCAAGAGTCCAGTGCATCTTAAAGACTAACAAAATTTGTGGCAGGGGAAGAGCTTTCATGAGTCACTGCTTACATCTTCAGATACAGCTAGAATGGTTGTGGCTCACGAACAGTGACTCCCATTCTAGCTGTATCAGAAGAAGTGAGCAGTGACTCATGAAAACTCATCCCCTGCCGCAAATTTTATTAGTCTTTAAGGTGCTACTGAACTAGTAGTCTCTGGAGAATAAGGCAGACCTGTATTCTGGTTGCTGAGGGGGATCACTAATCTGGAGAATTGGGTTTGATTCCCCGCTTTTCCACATGAAGCCTGCTGGGTGACCTTGGGCCAGTCACAGTTCTCTCAGAACTCTCTTAGCCCCACCTACTTCACAAGGTGTTTGTTGTCAGGAGAGGAAGTGTAGGCAATTGTAAGCCACTTTGAGGCTCCTTTGGGTAGAAAAAAGTGGAGTATAAAAACCAACTCTTTGTCTTCAAATTTGCAGTCTTCATTCCTGATGGAGACAGCAGTAAAGGACAGTTCTGGTACGCAGCAGCAGTCTGAGTTTCCTGGTGCAGTGATGCACCCAGTACTCAGTGCAGATCTGTGATCACCTCTCCCTATGCTCTCAGTCTCGGGGTCAAAATAACATAACTCCTGAAGAACAAAGTTAGAGTCCAATGGCTTTGTTCTATTGCTTCAGAGACCAACATGGCTACCCACCTTGATAACTCCTGAAAATCCACGATCCAGTTGGGGACTCTGATTAGAGCGACCTTGCCAGGGGAGCAGGGTTAACCCTCCTGAGGCACTGTTTTCTAGTCTAATTTGTTTCCCAACTTCCCCCCCCCCATTTTGTCTGGTTTAGGGAGTTTTTGGAGGGCCCCCCCTGAGATTTAGTTCAGGAAGAGGCCTTGGTTGTTGTTGTTCAGTCGCACAGTCGACTCCGACTCTTCGCGACCCCATGGGCCAGCTCCCGCCAGGCCCTCCTGTCTTCTGCCGTCCTCTGAAGTTGGCTCAATTTCATGTTCGTTGCATCTATGACACTGTCTAACCATCTCATCCTTTGCCGTCCCCGTCTTCTTTGACCTTCAATCTTTCCCAGCATCAGGGTCTTCTCCAGTGAGTGCTCCCTTCTCATTTGGTGGCCAAAGTATTTGAGCTTCAGTTTCATTATCTGGCCTTCCAGGGAACAGTCAGGGTTGATTTCTTTTAGGATGGAGTGATTTGATCTTTTTACAGTCCAAGGGACTCTCAAGAGTCTTCTCCAGCACCATAGTTCAAAAGAATCTATTCTTCGGCGCTCGGCCTTCCTTATAGTCCTCTTTTACCCTGAGCAAGAGGCTCTTTAGGTCCTCTTCACTTTCTGCCATTAGAGTGGTATCGTCTGCATATCTGAGGTTGTTGATGTTTTTCCCGGCAGTCTTAATTATGGCTTGTGATTCATCCAGGTCAGCATTTCACATGATGTAATCTGCATATAAATTCAATAAGCAAGCTGCTACACTTCTGAATTTGCAGAAACTGCCAAGCAGCCTTCAAGGGTTAGCCCTAGCATGCACATGTCACAGTAGTCTCAGGCGACAGATCAAGATGGGTAGCTGTGTTAGTCTGTAGCAATAGAAAAGGGCAAGAGTCCAGTGCATCTTAAAGACTAACAAAATTTGTGGCAGGGGAAGAGCTTTCATGAGTCACTGCTTACATCTTCAGATACAGCTAGAATGGTTGTGGCTCATGAACAGTGATGGGGCCGGATGCCATGATCTTAGTTTTTTTGATATTGAGCTTCAAGCCCACTTTTGCGCTCTCCTCTTTTACCCTGAGCAAGAGGCTCTTTAGGTCCTCTTCCCTTTCAGCCATTAGTGGTATCATCTGCATATCTGAGGCCTTGGTGAAAGGATTTAAATGCCTGCTTCTTAAGCACGGCTGCACCGATCACATCCAGAGCCCCTTGTGATTGCTTTTCTTTAGGAATTCCCATGTCTCCTGGGAGAGACAAGATCAGATTTCCCAAAGGTGTCATTTCTATCTCAAATTCCTAAAGTGGAAAGCCTGGTGGCAGTACCCCCTGCCTCGCTTACCATTCTGAGTTAGGTCTGTTTGGTGGGCATAGAGATTTTTAATGCGAGTTTCTCTAGTTTAAAAAAGAGAAAAAGCCCAGGCTTCTCTTAGGGCAGATAAATAACTGGGCACAGCTTCGGCCTCACTGTTTGTCTTGGGTCAAAACGCAAGCACGCTGAGCCAAGAGAGCGTGGGTTTTGTGTTGCTTTCCCCATTGCCAGGTTTATTTTCTAGAGAGAAGGCAAGACCTAGCAGCCAGGAGTTACAAATCAGGGTGGAGGCGGGGAGGCTGCTGGGCAGCTTGCTGCAAAGGAATTTGCCTTTGCTTTTTGTTAGCAGCCACTCAAGCATGCAGACCTGAAGGGGCAGGAGGGGAAAAATGTGTGTCCATTTGTCTCCTGTGCAGAGGACTGTTTAGTCTTGGATGGGGGGAGGTGACAGATGTTTGCTACGTTGGCTTTGCTCTCAGGAGCTCAGATCTGTGATTTATGGTGAGCTTTTCAGCTGACCACCTGCTTCCATAGTCATCTACTGTCTCCCGCCCAGGCACTCTGTTGGAGACGTGGGAGACATTGTGGGACTGGTGCGTTGTCTGCATGCAGCTGAGCAGCCCAAGGCATCATCTTCCCACGAGGCTGAGGTCGGTTCCCGGTTCTTTATATGCACTTACTATTTCCTTATTCAGGAATCCCATCTCAAATACCGAGGATGCTTAAAAAGCTCTGCACCCCAAAATAGGCTTTGGACCAACACATATCATACACCCCCACATACTGGGGACTCTGTCCCGCCAGGGAACCAATGTGGTTTCCTGGTCCAAAGCTCAGGTTTTGCACTAACTGCTCCGAAACAGGGTGACTCCAGGACAAGTGCAGATTCAGAAACGGGGGGGAAACTATTCAATCTTTGGACCACTCCGAATCACAGCCCACATACATTCTAGAAGACATACCTAGAAGACATACACTGGTGCCTGGTCCAAACACTGGTCTGGCACCAAGAGCTTCTCTTCAGGGTGTCTCCAAGAAGTGGGTAGGATTATATTAGGAAGATGGCTTGAATAAGGAAGTGGGAACAG